CGCGATTTGAACAATTTGGACGATCTGAGCGTCGAAAGCTCAGATCGTTCAAATTGTTCAAATCGCGCTGCTCTAATCGTGCTTGAGGCGCCGCAGAACTTCCCGACGTTGCTTGAAGCGCGTCCACCATAGACTTTGTATGTAAACCTGCTGCTCCTGATGCTGAAATCGCGTTCGGTGTGAACGCACCATAACTGTCATGGAAGTCTTGTTATTTGCATCGCCCTCTGGTGGTCAGATTTGATAACTGCATATGAATTGAGTTAGGTTTCACTTTCTGTTTATTCACCATGTGCTCAGCCAGCCATGCAGTTGCTTTTCCTCTTCTCAGCTAGACTGAGTCCAGTAATGTCTGTAAGTACTGAAGTTTCTTGCGTATAGTATGTTTATTTGTAGGGGTGTCCCGATTCGATATTGATATCGGATATTGGTCCGATATCAGCCAAAAAACGAGTATCAAATTTTATCGGCCTGCATAAAAAATGTCCGATATAAGCGTTCTGATATAAGCAGTTCAATCCAGCAGTTCACTGACTCCGCTCCAGCTTCTCTATCCAGCAGCGCTTGGAACCAGCGTGCAGCGCTCACGTGATCACAACAGCAGAGCAGCCAGCGGGCTAACAAGAAAGTAGCGAGGAAGAGCAGTGATGTCAGCGGTGTGGCAGTATTTTTTGTTCAAATCTGAAAAAGACGTTGCTGCCGAGTGCAAAACATGTAACGCGCAAGTTCTCCGTGGTGGGACAGAGCAGGGGAAATTTAATACAACAAATCTCATCGCACATTTGAAGCAGCATCACAAAGCACAGCATGAGGGTTTTCACAAGGCCACAGAGGTGAAGAAACAAAGTTCTGGCTCCTTTAAACAACCAACGCTGTCCGAAACATTTGCAAAGTGTGACAAACTGCCCTGGGACGGTAAAAAGGCATTAGCCATAACAGAGAAGCTAGCGCAGTTTGTTGTGCTCGACGACCAGTCCCTGTCCGTGGTGAGTAATGTCGGGTTTAAACGGCTAATTGAGCACCTCGAGCCTCGCTACATTATGCCTAGCCGCCACTATATTGTAGACAAAACTATACCGCAGATGCATAAAGAAGTTCAAAAGTGCATTGCCACCCGTGTGGAGAAAGCTAATGCTGTTAGCTTCACCACGGACATTTGGAGCTCAGACCACCGTCCGCTGTCCTTATTAAGTCTGACTGCGCACTGGATAGARYCTGAATTTACATTGTGGAGAGCAGTGTTACARYCACYCGAGTTCAGAGGTTCACACYCAGCTAATYRCATCATGAACGCCATGGAGGAGATGCTGTGTGACTGGAAGATCGACAAAACAAAGGTCCATGTTGTTTTAAGAGACAATGCTGCTAACATGAAAAAGGCRATGGATCAGCTGCAAGTYCCAAYCTTAGGATGTTTTGCTCACAGCCTTCAGCTTGTGGTCCATGAAGGTGTGTTGTCACAGCGAGCTGTAAGTGATGCTCTAACCTACGGGAGAAAAATAGTGGGCCACTTTAAACATTCCCCCAAGGCTTATTCAAACCTTGAAGACATACAAATAGAACTGAACATCCCACCAAAACGTCTCCAGCAGGATGTCCAGACAAGATGGAGCAGCACCAAGTACATGATTGACAGCCTCATTCATCAGAAACGGTCCCTGCATGCCTACTCATCTGAAGAAAACAACACCCTGCCAGCCATTTTAACAGCAAACCAGTGGGGGCTGTTAGAGAAGACCTCAAAAGTTCTGACCCCATTTGAAGAGCTAACGACTAATGTCAGCGCTGCCTCTTCTACTGCAGCTGATGTCATCCCCTCTATCCATGTCCTGATCCGGTTTCTCAGTAAACAGAGTGAAGATGATCAGGGGATCCAAACGATGAAAACCACTCTTCTGGATGCAGTCTGCAGACGTTTCAAGCACGTAGAATCTGAGCCCCTCTACACTGTGGCAACGCTGCTGGATCCACGTTATAAAGACAAGTAAGGGAATTTATTTTAAATTGTTACATTTATTTTGCTTAACCTGGTGTGTATGAGAAAAACTGTACTGTTAATAATGACTTTATTTTAGCATATGTGATTGTGTTAAGACTGCATAAGATAAGATCAGGTGGCTTGTCAATATATACAACACAGTGAAATGAGTCCTCTCCACTTCAGTGACGTCAAACACATCACATATATCATACATACTAAAATATATTATTTACAACCAGTCAATAGAAACAAATAATTTTAAAAAGTTGCTTCAAGAAATTGTTACTGAATCTCCATTTACATAATCATGACTGTGTGTGTTACTTTCTATGAGCCCAAGTGTGTGGGGAATGTGTGTGAAAGCTCTGAAATATGCACTCTGACATAATTTTATATATTTTTTATTTATGCCAGGTACTTCACCAATGCAGAAAACTTGGGAAATGCAAAGGCAGCATTAAAGGCAGCTGTGTTGAAAACAGAAGGACAGCTGAAGACCACCACACCTCCAGCTGATGAAACTGTGTCAGAGCCAKRGAAGGAGACTCCACGGACGGAGATACTGGAGGAGAGCAGCACAGCAGCAGGTCCTTCTGAGCAGATCACCCCAGGGGCAATCATTGAAATGGAGAGCTACCTCTGTGAGACTCCTATTGAACGTAAGAACAATCCTTTACATTACTGGAGAGTCAACCAAGCACGATTTCCCACCCTGGCAGCAACAGCAGCCAAGTTCCTCTGTGCTCCTTGCACAAGTGTCGAGAACGAGAGGCTCTTTAGCTCAGCATCTGTTATCATTGAGGAGCACAGGAGCAAGCTGACWGCTCAGCATGCTGAAATGCTCATCTTCCTAAAAAAGAATCTGCATATCATGCTTGGACTGCAGAAATCAGAGATAGAGCCTTTTCTTAGATTCCACATTACAAAATTAGTAACAAAAGTATATAATTTGTGCTGATATCWGTATCGGACAATATCGGTATCGGCCAATCCTCAAGGCTGCAATATCGGTATCGTATTGGAAGTGAAAAATCTGTATCYGGACACCCCTATTTATTTGTGCTCAAAGGGGTTACAGAAGGATATATTTGATTAGCTATACATGTACATTTACATTGTAATATTGTATTTTGGACCATTTATTGATTTTGCCATTTGTATTGTGTTTGTTCTCAGTTTTACGGTTATCTCATTAAAGCTTGCTAAGCTCAGATGGTCTGATTCTTGGCGAAAGAATGGGAGACAGTTTATTCACCTGTGTAGCTTGATTAATCAGCGAGGACAGGACAGTAAAAAGACACTGCAGTTTGTTATGTTTTTGGAAAAAGAAGAGTAACAACTTCAGCAACATGGAGACTGAGATGGCAGACCTGAAGCCAGAAGAACGACATTTAAGCCAAGAGGATATTGAAAGTGGCTCAATATTTTCCTCTCACTCAACACGCTRAAGAGTATCTCGTGCATCAGCTTCCTCATCTGCAAGCCTAGCAGCAGCAAGAGCTCGTGCCAAGGCAGAAGCTGCGAAAACTAAACTAAACTTTGCGAAGAGAGAGATGGATATTCAGCTACAAAAAGCTAAAATTGAAGCTTCACTTCATAATCTCAATCTGGAAAGAGAGGCTGAAGCGGCAAATGCAGAAGCAGCTATACTGGAGGCTGCTGCAGCTGATCTAGATGGTGCAAAATACACAGATGCAAGCAACTACATTCCTCTTCATAGAGTCCAGATGAATAGAATCCATGACTATGTGAACCAGCAGTCAGCAGAATCTAATGAGAAAGCAGACGAAGAAAAAGGCCTTTCTTATCATCGCCCTTTAAACACAACAAATAATGATGACACAGTGAGACCCAGGATACATTTTGAAGATCAACAACTCGCCCATTATAAAGACCACTCTAAAATGGATGACGAGCCACATTCATACAAATATTCAAAATATCAAGTGCCATAAACCATACCTAACCAGCCATCAAATCAATCTGACATTTAAGGTGAACCAAAAAACCCAACTGATGACTTAGCAAGATTTCTTGCATGCATCCAGCTTCTTACTTCTGGGCTTTCCAGATTTGAGGACATGCCTGAGCACTACCAGGCATGGAAAACCTCTTTTATTAGCGCCGTCAAACCACTCAGGCTTAGCCCAAGTGAAGAGATAGACTTAATGGTTAAATGGCTTGGTAGAGTCAAGTGAGCATGCATGTCGAATTAGGTCAGTCAACATAAAACAGCCAATGATTGGACTAAACATGATTTGGTCAAGACATGACAAAATGTACGTATCTGCAGAGGCTATAGAGAATGCCCTTTTTTCAAAGATTGAAGCATTCCCAAAAACCCAAATCAAAGACAACAGGAAGCTCCAGGAATTAGCAGACCTCCTTCAGGAGCTTGAGATTGCTAAGCAAGAAAATAACCTGCTAGGCTTAACCTACTTGGACACGGCTAGAGGAGTTCAGCCTATTGTAGAAAAGTTGCCTTATTATCTTCAGGAACGCTGGACATTTCAAGGCTCAAAGTACAAAAGCGAGCATCATGTTGCTTTCCTACCATTTTCCTTCTTCAAAGACTTTGTATGCAAAGAGGCAGAAGAAAGGAATGATCCCAGCTTCCACCTTCTCCCTTTCTATAATCATATGAAGAAGGAGAAGTTCGGACAGGTAAGACTACCAGTGTCAGTTCAGAAAACTACGTGAAACTATTTCTTCTCTAAAGCCAGATGTGGTGAAGTTAAACCAAACAAACACTAATAAACAACACCCAATCCATAACAAGCCGCATCCTTTGAGCAAATGTAGATCCTTTATAAAAATGTCCCTGGAAGAACGCAAGAAGATTCTTGAGAACTTTCTGTGTTTCGATGCTGTGCGTCTACAGATCACCATTCAAAAAGCTGCAAAATACCTGTGAAATGCACAGAGTGCGGGAGCGAAAAGCATATTACTGCACTCCATCCTAGCCATACAGGCTCCGCAGAAATGTTGCAACAACTGTCGCCTGCTTCAGAGAATGGCGGGGAGGAACCAAACCAAGAAGCCATTTCCTCCAACTGCACTAAAGTCTGTGGAACTAACAGCAATGGCAGATCATGTTCAAAGATCTGCCTAGTCAATGTTTATCCTGCTGGGCATCGTGAGGACATCAGAAGAATGTACGCAGTTTTAGATGATCAAAGCAATTTATTCTTAGCCAGGTCATAATTCTTTGACATATTTGGCGTCCAAGGAACTGAGGCACCGTATACTCCAGCTACATGCATGGGGATAACTCAGGCGAGTGGAAGAAGAGCTTTTGGGTATGTAGTGGAATCTCTCGATGGAGCAACATGTCTGCCACTTCCCACACTCATCGAATGCGACCACCTTCTCAACAACAGATCAGAGATCCCTACTCCAGAAGTAGTCTCTTACCATCAGCATCTGAAGAAAATTTAAAAGGAAATACCTCCCCTATATCCTGACTCCAATATCTTGCTTCTGATTGGACAAGACTTACTGAGAGTCCACAAAGTGAGAAAACAGATAAACGGTTCACGTGATGAACCATTTGCTCAAAAACTTGACCTTGGATGGGTTGTCATTGGAGATGTCTGCATTGATGGAATGCACAGACCTGCTACAGTTGGAACCATGAAGACATGCATCTTAGACAGCGGAAGACCTTCTCTGTTACACAAGTGTGAGAACAAGTTCAGAGTTAAGGAAATCTATGATCCTATGAAACTGAAGCCAAGCAGACACACCTCGGTTTTCCACCAAACAGATCAGGACACTCAGTTAGCTCCATCAGTTGAAGACAAGATGTTCTTGGAGCTCATGGAAAACGAGATCTTTCAAGACGACGACAACAGTTGGGTGGCCCCCTTGCCATTCCGCAAGTCACGCCGCGCCTCCCTAACAACAAGAAATATGCTATTAAACGTTTTGCATCACTGCAGCAATCTCTAAAGAAAAAGCCAGAGATGAAAAGACACTTCTTTGAGTTCATGCAAAAGTTATTTGATAATGACCATGCAGAGCTTGCTCCACCACTTGAAGATGACAAAGAYTGCTGGTACCTACCTACCTTTGGAGTCTATCACCCTCAAAAACCAGGACAAATAAGAGTACTTTTCGACTCGTCAGCACAATATGATGGAATCTCTCTTGACGATGTTCTTCTGCAGGGACCAGACCTTGGCAACGGTCTCCTAGGAGTCCTTCTGAGATTCAGGAGAGAACCCACTGCTGTCACTGCTGACATACAACAGATGTTCCACTGCTTTACAGTGCGAGAGACTGCAGAGATGTCCTTCGTTTCCTGTGGTACTGTGCCAATAACCCAGATGATAAAGTGGTTGAATATCGAATGAAGGTTCACATTAGGGGTGTCCCGATACCAGATTTTTCAAGACTGAGTACAAGTACGAGTACTTCAGTTTAGGTACTCACCGATACCGATACCGATACCAAGTAGCGGGGTTCGTGTGGATTATCTGTTCAACTTGTTGAATATTAAACAGAATGAAAATGAAATGCAATTATCATGCAAAAATTGATGGGTAAATATTATGTTTGACAATAAAAATGTAGTGCAAACTCTGACAAGTAGATAAGTTGGTATATATATCACACCATAACTTTTGAAACCATTTATTTTATTTCAAACAGGCTCTTTTTTATAAGGCCACACTCCCTCTGAATGTATTAACAATACAAATACTGCAAAACAAATGCTGTTGCATTCATTAAAAAACAAAATAAGTTATTTTTATACATTTTCCTCAACATGCAACTACCAAATTTAAATTAAAATGTAAAACGTAAATTTTAGCAGCACATCTATAGAAGTTTACTCTGCTTCAGTCTTAAACTGTTAAAAAATGACTAATAGTAATAAAGTGCAGTAAATTTCAGTTCAAACTTAAATGGAACAACTAAAACAAAATCTCAGAAGAACCAGAGGGAAAAATAAAATGTTTTTACAACAAACTTCCTTCCATATTCTGCTTATGTCTTAGTTTGTTCTACAAGAAAGAAAAAACATCATTGAAGTTACTGCAACAACTGCAGCATAGTGCTGTTTATGAAGGCTACTGCTAGCAGCAGCAAACTCTTTGAATTCTTTGTCATGTCTTGTCCTCAAATGTTTAATCAAATTGCTGCTGTTAAAACATCCAACTTTAGCTCCTCCTCTGACAGTTAGCAGAGCACAGCAGACAGTCTGCTTGTTTGTTTCCTCCGTGCTGCTCTTAAATATCTCCAAACTGCTGATATGTTACTTCTTCTTCTTCTTCTTCTTCTTCTTCTTCTTCTTCTTCTTCTCATCGTTCTTCTTCTGTTGTTCGGGGGTGCGGTCAGAAATAACATGTCAGTGCGTTAGTGCCCCCGCCTGGTATGGATTGTTGTTTACACTTTGTGCTGCAGCGCAGCACAGGAGGAACAAAAAAGGGGACAAAAGGGGTATCGGTTAAGAGTATCGGCCGGCTTTTACGAGTACGAGTACTTGATGCTGGTATCTGACCCGATACCGATACTGGTATCGGTATCGGGACACCTCTAGTTCACATTTTTGGGAACAGCCACTCTCCTGCTATAGCAATATATGGGCTTAGAAAGGCAGCCAAAGAGCAGGAACATTTCTATGGCAGCAAAGTGACTCAACTGGTAGGAAGAGAGTTCTACATGGACGATGCGCTACTGTCATTTCCAACAGCTACAGAAGCCATCAAAGTTGTGGATGAAATCCAAGAAATGCTGGCGACGTCAAATCTATGACTACACAAGATAGTGTCAAACAGCATTGATGTAATGGACCATTTTCCTTCTGAAGACAGAGCCAATAACATCAAGAACTTGAACCTGTTTG